CGGGGGCCCCCGGGGAGGCGTCACACACGGACGCTCCCAGGCCTGCCACGGGCCATGCAGCCGGGCCGGTACCAGCCTTTCTGAAGGCAGCTCCTGGGCGCCCGCTGCTGAAGCCGCCGCGGCCCCGCACCGATACGGGCGTGGGCGGGGAAGCAGCCGCTTTATTCGTTGTTCTCGCCAACCTCGCTACAGCTCTCCCCGACCCGCATCGCCCCGCTCCACTCGGACAGCAAAAGTGGAGGGGGCGGGACGAACGACCCTTCCTAGACATGACTGGAGAAATCCCTTTCAGAGGCCAAGGTACCGCTCCCCCCGCTGGTTTTAATCCGGTCCGTATCAAAACCAAATTGAATTAGGTGCCACGAGAATCCAGAGATTACAAATGATTTTCCGATTGGACCTTTTTTCCAAGGCGCTGCTGACAATAAAGTTTTGGCCGCAAGAAAGGGTGTGTTCCTGGCAAGTTTCTTTTGCCCTTCACTGTATTTCTTTTTTACAATGAACTGCCCTAGCTCTTGTTTTTCCTCATGGCCAAGTGAGGAGAGTTGCTTAAATACATTTTCTGTGTTACAAAGCTGTTGACGAGAGAGTTGGAGCAGCCTGCTGCGCCCACGCCACAAGTGTCACGGGCAGCCAGTGTGTGTAGCCTGTTGTAGATCAAGCAGGAAGCAGAAAGCAAAGGAAGAGAAAGCTGAGTGGCACTAAGGAGGGCATGAACTTCAATTTGAGGCACACCTGACAAAAAGATTGGCCCTCACTGCTTTAAAACCAGAAGGTCACACAAAACAAAGGCAATGAATGGGTATTAATATAAATATATTTTTCTTAGTAACATTTTATAAAAGGTGAATATTCTTAGCCTTAGTTTTTTTCAGATCAAAGGCTGTAGATGTATGTGTTTATTTCTTCGTCAGGCAAGGTTCTTTGAGTAGATGTGATATCTTTTATTAGACCACCTGAGTAGTTGGAAAAAAGTTCTTAGCAAGCTTTCAGGCGCAGTCACTCTTCTTCAGGCACAGGGAGTCTCTTAGTAGCATTTTATAAAAAGTGAATATTCTTAGCTTTCATTTGTTCTGAATCCAACTTAATATATGGTGTGGGTGTGGAATGCCTAATATAAAATAATTACTTTATAAGATATGTATCGGTGCTTATTTAATTGTGCAAAATACAGGAAACAAAAAGATAAGCTTCCTGCAGTGAATCAGTAGCCACATAAGTGTGTGTGTGTTTGTTATTATTTGATCACAGTGCAACAACACAAAGTGTTTGATCCACAGGTTGACATAAAGAAACAAATAAATGTAACTTTTAAAATGTATTTATAGTTGCTTTATTATGCAATGTAATTGTAAGAAAAGTAATGTATGGTAGTTCCTTTCAGTTTTATTATACAATGTCATAGACTTAAGTGTGTGTCCTCATTTACTATTTTGTTATAATTAAATGATAACTTATTGAAATACAGGCAAACCTGGGTCAGAACAAAGGCTATTTTATGAAAATAAAATATAACAAAGTATTCTTTTCCAATAACTATATATCTTCCACTTGCATTAGTGTATGTTGACTGTTTTTAGTATAGCAGCACTAGTATACTTGCACTAGCATGCTAGATGATGCTGAGACAGTTTAATTATAACATTTGTCCTAAAAAAAAGAGAGCATGATCTCTAATGAATGGAGCAATATACTGCAATATCAGTCAGAGATATGGAAATTCCCAGCTTAGGGTGTGTGACCTTGAGCAAGGCTCTTCACCACTTAGGCCTCCGTTTCCCTCTTAGTAAAATGGAGATAATGATCATAGAAACTAAGGCCTGGAAGGAACCTCAAAAGATCATCAGGTCCAACCCCCCTACTCAGAATCATAGAAATTAAGGGCTGGGAGGGACCCTGAAAGATTGAATCCAACACACAGGCTCTAGGCAGGAAAACTGCGGAGATCAAATGATCCCAGCAAGGTGGCTGTCCAGTCTCCTCTTAAAGAAGTCCAAGGTTGGGGACTGCACCACCTCCTTGGGAAGTCTATTCCAGATTCTGGTTACCATTACTGTAAAGAAGTTCTTCCTTATAGCCAACCTGAAACCATACTCTAACAGTTTATGGCCATTGCTCCTTGTCCTCCCCTGGGGCACCCTAGTAAACAGTTTTTTCTCCCAGCTCCCAATATTCACCCCTTACATACTTACAGGTGGCCACCATTCCCCCCTCAGTCTTCTCTTCCCCAGGCTGAACAGTCCCAGATCCCTTAGTCTTTCCTCATAAGGTTTGTCCTCCAGGCCCTTAATCATTCTTGTGACCCTTCTCTGGACCCTTTCAAGATTCTCCATGTCTTTTTTGTAGGGTGGCGCCCAGAACTGGACACAGTACTCCAGCTGGGGTCTCACCAATGCCAAGTAGAGAGGAAGTATCACTTCCTTAGCCCTGCTTGTGACATATTGGCTAATGCATCCCAGTATGCTATTAGTCCTGTTGACTACAGCATTGAACTGGCAGCTTATGTTCATCCTGTTATCAACCATAACCCGAGATCCCTTTCAGCCATCGTGCTGGACAGGACATCTCCACCTAACCTATATTTATGTCACTGGTTAATTCTCCCCAGATGAAGCACCCTGTATTTATCCTTATTGAACTGCATCTGGTTCCGCTCCACCCACCTTACCAGCTTGTCCAGGTCCACTTGGAACCACATCCTATCCTCCAGCATGACCACTTTTCCCCATAACTTAATATCATCCTCAAACTTGTCCAGCATGCTTTCCACATCCTCATCTAAATAATTGATAAAGATGTTGAATAGTACAGGGCCAAGAGCCGAACCCTGCGGGACACCACTGGCCACCTCCTGCCAAAACAATACAGACCCCGTCCACTAACACTCTCTGGGTTTGACCCCTTAGCCAGTTCCCAACCTACCTGACAGTGGACTCTGTCAGCCCACAATCACAATCCCCCAGTTTTTTTATAAGATCATCATGGGAGACCATCTCAAATGCCTTTTTAAAATCCAAGTATATGACATCAACCGTGTCTCCCACATGCAAGCAGTTCGTTACTTGATCATAGGAGGAGACAAGGTTGGTCAGACATGACCTGCCCGCAACAAAACCTGGCTATCCTTGATAATCCTGCCTTCTGCTAGTCTGTCTCAATTATATGTTTTATTTAAAACTAATTCCAAATCCAAGTGTCCAGAACCATAAGTGACCCTACTACCAGCAAACATCCTCCACCCGCACCTGGGGCTTTAGATGTTTCCAAAACCTTTGTTGGGCCAGTCTCTCACAAATGGACTTCTTGATAATTTTCTCCAAAATTGTACCTGGTATTGAGGTCAAATTGCCTGGCCTATAGATTACCAGATCCTCCCTCTTCCCCTTTTTAAAGAGTGGCACCACATTGGCCTTTTTCCAGTCTTCCAGGACCTTTCCCAAGCACCACAAGTCTTCAGATACCTTCACCAATGATTCCAGAATGACTCCAGCCAATTCCCTCAGTACACCCAGGTGTAGTCCATCCAGTTCTGCTGACTTAAAGACATTCAGCTGCTCTAAGTGCTCCCTCACCAGTTTGAC